CATGTGAGTGATAGACTAGAAATAGAGAAAGATGGCCCAAGACAAAAGATACACATGCCCACCTGCGAAGCCCAACCCTTTTATGTTGTACCCTTATATCTGACCTAAATCTGTTTCATATATAATCTCTTGTAAATCCTGATTTGAGATCTAATGAGAAATTTAGTGAAAACACAGAAACCTGTTTCTTATCTTTCTCAAAAACTCACATTAGTTTTCTTCTATGAATGTTAAACTAATGTGACAAAACTTACTAACATTCTCTAAAGACAGACATAGAATGTGCTCAATCGGAGTATTGGATCTCTCTTCTCCGGCAAAATTTCATCATGGCCAGGAAAAAGCACAGATTTTTACTCCGACCCATTTGTGTAATCCAAATGGGTTTCTATTTCGATGGAGAAATCCCATACCTTTCGCTCCCAAACTCTCCAAATCCGTCAATTTCGCTTCATCTTCTTCACGTCTCCCTCTTATACTCTCTTCGTCGTCTCTTCGTTCCAATGATTTCTTCCAGATTCTCGCGAGAAAAGCTGCGATTTTACTTGTTGGGTCGTTTATGTTTCTAGGTTTCTTCTGTTCTTCGAAACCTGTTTTAGCTCTACCCACTGCAACAACTGTGAGCTCTCAAGCGGAGTTAGAGGACGAGGAAATGTTCGAGAAGCTTTTAGAGAGTGAGCCAGAGAACATGGAAGCAATGAAACCTGTTTTGTATAAGAAGATGAGGAGAGGAAAAACTGAGGAAGCTGTGAAATTTGTTGAGAAGTTAATGAAAGTAGAGCCTCGTGAAGTTGAACGGAAGCTTTTAGAAGCGTTTTGTTAATCGTTCACCTCTTTGGTAATTCTTTTTTCCTTTGGTAATCTTCTTTTCCTTGTTTTTGCCTTTTGGTTTATTTGGAGGGTTGCTTTCTAAATCGTTCACCTATTTATCTCCATATCATATCGATCTCTCTTTTTGGGTTTTTTGTATGTAGTAGGATCATTGCTTTTAGCCACATCCGGAATTTTATCATTTTTCTTTGTGAGAAACTGTAATGATTAATTATATTTTTTGAAATAAATAAAAAATTAAATATGTATAATTCAAGTTTACCTGATCTATATATATTGGATTTCCTGTGATACCTATAATTGATAACCCAGCTGACGTTGATTGAAAATTATACTCTTTGATTTTCAAATCGAATTTGTAAGTTCTACCAATGAGTTTTTCAGATATAAATGATATAATTGCTTCATCTGTTGAAATTTTAAATTTTTCTTCCTGAAATGTAAATTTACATATATTAATATTAATTTTTAAAAGTTCAGTAACACATGAAATTTCATATACCAAATTTTATTAAACATACATACATATAATTTGATCACATCGGTTGCTGATATATTCAATATCTTTGTCATATCTTTGTTGAATGTTGTCAATGAAGCTATATCTGAATCATCTTCTACCATGATTTCTACTTTGTACCTATATATATATTCCAAGATATTGTAAAATATTTCTATTATTATTAAACGACAAGTCTGTATTTAAATTCTTATACAAAAGTAATGATACCTTAAGATGCCAACTATGTTTGGTTTTACACAGTTATTGCATATCAGTTTTCCACTTGTTTTTTGTAAAATTCTGGAACAATAATTACACGACACATAATTCCATCCCTTTTTCGAACAATTTCAATTTATATTTGAAAGCCATCACAAGGATAAGTTAAAACTCTTTTATGCATATATTTGTTGGTTACATACAAAATTCAGTAAAAAAATATAAAATTTACAAAAAAATGTTATTTTTAGGATTTGTAATCGGTACTGTAGACTATATATAAACACAATAACAGCATTTGTTTGATAATTCACTTTTAACATGGGCCAACGTCAGAAAAATCTGCATCGCTTCAAAAAACTAACGTCACCTTTCTGCATTATGAAGAAATTGCTGGTATTCGATGAATCTCAAAAGTTTCTGTGATCGAGCTAGTAGAAAGTCTCGTAAGGTTAAATTGCACTGAAATATTTATAATTATCAACTCAAAAGAAATACATGCATACATTATGAAATGCCAAGCAACAAATTATCAAAGACGTATTTTGGAAACAACTATTTATTTATTTTTTTGCTAAAAACTTAACAACTATTTTAAAAAACCAGATAAATCAAAATCAAATCTTAGAGACACTAACTTTGAGACCATGTTGCATGCGAAGAAGAACAGAAGGAACTGGTTCGGTTTTGTGCCCTTGAACAACCTTGATGTCATAGTTTCGTATGATTTCCACGGCCACTGTCTTTATCTGCAAGAAAGTTAACTTTTTTCCCAAGCAAGTTCTGGGACCAGCGTTAAAAGCCAAGAACTTATACGAAGGCTCATGTTTCAATTTTCCGCTGTCTGAAATCCATCTCCCTGGTCTGAAATCTTCCGCGTCATCTCCCCAAACTGATTTCATCCTCCCTGCTGCGTAAATAGAGATTACTATCTTCCAATTCTCATCGACTCTATGCCCACTTGGAAGCACGTCTGGTTTTACCGGTGACTTGTGGTTAAATGGGACTGGTGGGTATAGCCTTAGCGACTCACACACGGCACCGTCTAGATACACAAGCTTGTCTAAATCTGCCGGATCGAACTTTGGCATCTGCTTGTTTATCTCTTGTCGGATCTTGGTCACTGCTTCAGGATTTTTGGAGAGAAGCCAGAAGAACCAAGTGAGAGCTGAGCTTGTTGTGTCTCTTCCTGCGATCAAGAAACTCAAAATAGCGTCTCTGATAAATTTATCGTTACTCGGTTTCAAGTGCTTATATTTGGTCGTGTCCACAGTCATGTAGTATGTTAAAACGTCCATGGCCTCTCCTTTTGAGTCATTATGAGTCCCATGACTGTTTAGCTCCTCTCTTTTAGCCGATATGATTTTCTCGAACAATTGATCGAAAACCGCGATACCTCTTCTCATCTTCTTCTCTACTCCTACACCAATCCAATATTGGAGTTTCCACAAGAAAGCCGGCTTGACATGCCTATAGAAAACCCCGTCTGCAGCACCATCAACCGCGTCACTGAACTCAACCTTAGGCATTTCAATGGAGAGACATTTTGGATCATACCCGGTCATCAAAATAGAAGATGTATCGAACAAGAACCTTTGGAACAAATCTTGCAAGTCGACGAGGATATTTTCCTCGACAGAGTTTTCAAGAATAGGAACAAGCCCTTGCTTTAATTTGCTTATGCTTGTACTCAACGAAAACTTTTGGAACTCTTGATGGCTAAAGATGGCATGAGACGAGTTCCTCATATCCTCCCACAACTCCGAGTCAACGTTGAAAATCCCATCTCCCAAGACTTCAAAGATCTTCTTAAACTCCATCCCTTTGGGATAATTAACGAAATTTGAACTTAGAATGTAGTGGATATTCGCCGGATCAACAGTGACCAATATGTCAGTTCCACTAAGCCACGGCCCTTTGAAACAAAACGTCATATCGGTCGCCTCAAGCACCTCGGTGAGCCATTCGTAGATACGAGGGACTTGGAGGAGCAGACCCGGAAGCATCCCAAGGACCGGCCAATTAGTGAGCAAAGGCTTGTGAATTTTCTTGTGGAGCAAGAAACACTGAAAAACAAGGAAGAAAACGAATGCTATGAAGATTTCAAGTAATCCTATGAGCATCGCCATTATAGTACACAAAAGGGTCTTTTTGGGGTGGGGGGTTGTCAAAGAAGAAGGATTTTTCTTATGAGTGAGTAATTCATACAAGAGCTCGCTTGCTTTATAACATGGAAGAAAGTAAGTGTATGCATCTACTTAATACTAATAGTGGTTACTGGTTGCATTGGTATGCCTAACAACATTAAGGGGTGTCATTGGATAGTGTTTTTTAATAGAACCTAGTTCTAACTAAAATCCCTACGTGAGTTAAAGGGTTCCAAATCTCAAGGGAAGACAAAAATACACTACTTCAAAAAAGAAAGTGGTCAATGTTGTGGAAACGGGTGAATCTACGGGAGAAGTTGAGCTTATAGTGAAAAGGAAGAAATCTGAAAAATCCAAAACATCCAAGAAAAAAATATCAATAGCACAAAAGTGGAGAATGGTCTTCCAGAATTCATAATCACCATAGAGAAATTATACCTCAAGTTTTTGGAAAGATTAAAATCAAAGACACAATAAAATTGTTTAAACAAAGTTTTTTTAATTGGCCATATGTGAATTTCTAATCATCACTTTCATGAATCCCAAAGCATTTTGTGATGGAACATAATCCGAATGAATCTAAGATGTTAACGTTTCATCATCCAAATGGGAACATTTCTTGAAAATCGATTTGATTGTTGAGAGAGACTGGTACAATCTTCTCACGTGGAAGGTAGAAAGTAGGGCGAAATCACATAAATATTTGGTCTATTCTTTTAATTCTTTATAAAATTTAACTTATTTATTTAATTTTAAAATATTTTACCTATTCTTTTAAATTTATTATATAAAGGAGGATGTACGCGATGAAAGCATGTCACGTAAGCAAAATTCTAACTCACCAAATCGCGACATGTGACTTATAATAGTCAGATGATGACATGTGTTAACAATTAAAATTAATTAAGAGAAAATATTAAAAAGGAAAAACAAAAAAATATAATTATCAAGTAACGAACCAAATAATAAAAAAAAAATTCTTCTATTTCAAACTAATTAGGAAAAAAGAACAATTTCTAATAGTCGAAACTAACTAGATAAAAAAAAAATCTAATTGTTTAAACTAATTATAAAGGTAAATTAAGAAAGAAAATATAGAGAATATACCCGTAAAAAACAAAAAGTGAAGAGTAAATAAAATTTTAATTAACAAAAATAAAAATAAAAATAATTATGAAAAGTAAATTGTAAATGATAAAACAAAAGATATGATATATATTAGAAACAAAAATTAAAAAGGATATGAAAATCTTAACTTAAAAGTTTAAGATATTCACAACCATACCAAATAAACAAATAATAAAAATTTATAAGCATAATTATTTTTTCAACATAGTTATAGAATATCACAAAGAAAATGAAACTCTTTTACCTATAACAGTATTGGTACTTCTCGATGTTAAAACAACATTGT